AGGCGAATCATCTGTACTTATCTTTACTTGCTTGTACTTTAGATAACTTTGTTAGTCATTCTCTTATCTCTTGCCATAGCTTTGTCTCTGCCGGGAACAAGGATGAGAGCCAGGTTATGCAGTAACTCAGCCTTCTCTAGTTCTGAAAGAGATCAACCGCAGTAGCTTTGCCATCTAAAACACGATAGATGGGATTACCCTCAATATGGATCATGTCTTCTGCCTCCTGCTAACGATGTACTTGACATAGAGATTGCCACTTTAATTGCTTCTAACTTTGAGCCCGTGAGGTTCGAGTAAAGGTGATCAAGACTTTTTGGGGCTCTTGCTTTCTTGGTATTTTGACTTCCTTAGTTATGTTGACACTATTCAAGCCAACTTTCTCCAACTGGAATAGGAGCATTGTAAGCCTAGGCCGCTTAAGAAGATTTAAGGACTGATAATTGAGATGGCATCGCTTTATAAGTTGTATTCACCCTATTTCGTTTAAGGTGATGTAAGAATGGTCCTTGGGTCACAGGTCAGATGTGAATTTCAAGGAATGTCAGGCATTTTCCAAATCACATTCTGTGTTGGGATTGTCGATGAAGCAAACTTATATTTGCTATAGCTTATCTTATCCAGAGTGGACCACAGTTTCGATGCTGTCTATGTCTCTTCAGCATCCTCAGCGAGATTCGATATTCAATTGTTACTATCGTGGCCATGCTACCACCTCATTCCACACCATGACAACTGATGCGGATGGGTCGAATGGCGAATTCTACATTCAAGACAAGGCAAACCACTCACAACTCACATTTATAGTGGGATCATCGTAAGGCCTACTCATCTTATTTTGAGAAAACTCAACTATCATTCCTTAAATGGCTGGCCTTAGTGATAGTCTCGAAAACTACTTATCTTGAAAGTTTTTCCAGCTTGGTTTATCTCCTGTCTGTTGTTTGGTACTACTCTTTGATGCGCACTTTGCTGGCAACCGAGTTATCTGGTTCGTTTGTTGACCTTTTGGATGTTTCTTTCAAAAGACATCAAGTCTGTTAAAATCGTAGCGATTGGCAACAGTCCTCAGTTTGTGCAATTTCTGTGGTATTTTTGAAAGCTGTTTGTATTATTGACATTTGCTACAATATTCACTACCATGCCCTTCTTTGTCGCCCTGAGATGGCTGCATTAAAACTGCCTCGCTTCCATTCTTGTTTATTTCCGCCATCGCAAATCAGGTGTTGTCAGGTGCTTCAACGTGTTTCTACGCGTTTGTCGGCTTCGACATCCTCTCCACTACCGGTGAAGAGGCTCGTTCTGCTGCCCGGTCTATTCCGATCGCAACCGGCCTCACCTTGGCTGTCTCCTGCCTCCTCTACTTGGGCGTCTCTACGGTGCTCACTCTGATCGCCCCCTTTGGTAGTCTGACCTCGAGTACACCTATTGCCGAGGCCTTCGACAAAATCGGTCTCGTCTGGGTCAAATGGGTGATTGGTCTTGGTGGAGTGTTTGGTCTGTCGGCCAGCCTTCTGGGCAGCCTGTTTCCGCTACCTCGAATACTCTTCGCAATGGCTAAGGATGGCCTTGTATTCGCGTGAGGCGATCACTAGCACCTGTCCTGGTGATGAACTTTTCTCTTGTATCCTCCTATTCCCTGCACAACATTACGGCTGAAACATGTTAGTTAAGAATGAGACAAATCCCGGCAAACAGACAAGTAAACTGACCATGATCTATCCCAAATGATTATACCTTTGATGATGGACTTTTTTGGAATAAAGACTGATCACAGATTTGGGATTGTCCTAGTGACTACTTTACTCGGATTGTTGAATAATAGATAGATTTTAGTGCCCCTTACCTGTTTTTATGGGTAATATGAAGAGGTTTAATAGATTGGAATCTCCAGAAGCCGAAATAAAATTGCTTTGGAGTTATCTACTGCTTTCAGCAAATAACTGCCTGTTGAACTCTTGTCTGTCTCACAGTGTCAGGCATCGTCTGAGCGAAGAAGCTGGCTATAACAGAATTCATCAAGAAATGTGGAATTTCATCAGACAATGGTTGCCCGCCGTGACCCTACCTGCCTCACCAGAAGAGATGATCCTCATCACGGATGGATCGGAGTTAGGCGAACGATGAGTTGGTAACTCTTCACTCTAATTAAAAGTTATAGTTTCAGAGCAATTTTCCTTTAGTTGCCGAGACGGCTAGTTAACGAATCTTTTCCGCTCATATATTCTTAAGAGTTGAAAGATATAATTACATTCTTAGACGCTTAACCGGTAACATAGTCGGCATCACCAGTGAGCCTTGCCTATCCTAGACTCGTGCTAGCGACAATATACTCTTTACCGCGTCTCTGTCTTTTTGTACCCACTAGTGCATATTTAATTTCACACCGTTTTACCTTATTCAAAAACAATCTTGGGCACTTTTAATCAACTCCTACTTATATTGCCTTTTAGCTGATTCTGTATACATTATTCTCTAATTCCCATCAGAAGAAAACCTACTTATAAGCGAAATACAATCATAAGAATGTCGGCGTATGAGAATGCCAGAGCTTCTCTGTGCCATAGCAACCGTATCATTTGCCGTAACAACCACCTCAGTGACCCCCTAATCTGATGCGATGGGCTATTCCAATGATCTTTAAAGTATCCTCTTTAGTGGTGGATTCTGTTAATAGTCATTCATTGTTTCAACGTGTTTTCCAGTTTTCCACTAGCCCATAATCTCACATGTTTTAGGGTTCAACTAGAATCTGCGCTAAACACGCATTCATGACTGCTAGGATAGACGTCATGGTACTGCCATTTGTGTTGTTTTATTTGTGGTTGTGTGCAATTTGATTTCAATTGACCATCGCCACTTGATTGTGCTTTGCCTGATTTCGTTTGCCTGCAACCACTAGAAGCCGCTAGAAATTAAGATTAATGAAATTTTTTAATACTTTGCAAGAAGAGAAATTAGCCTTAAACCGTCTTCATGTTTATTATCGTTTTAGAGTTGAAATGTTCATTGCTCCACTTCGCGTCATCTTCTCCTTCAGCTTTTCATTATTACTGTTGCAGCCATTCAGAGGGCAGCACTAGGGACGGGCCACTTTCAAGCTAATTCCATTCTCGTAATTAATCTTTTCAGACGTCAGTGGGACGAAATTGTAACTGCACATGCCCAGAGAAAGTTACATAATTCACAATCTTTCATCACTTACATAGTCTGACGAAATGTTGCAAAGTGGGATTTTGGTCATAACTTTTCACTTGGACTAAGATGGTTACTCAAGTTTGAGCAGCACTTTTGATCTTAGCTCACAACTTGAGGGTCCAGAAACCTAGATATCGAATTCTTCTCGTTCCCTTTAACGACCTCACAGGTCTAAAACTGATATACAGTTGTCCTCGGTAGTTCTACACCCAACGGGTTTCTTATTGTCTTCCTCGTAGCCCTTACCCAAGCGATTTCCCGTTCTCCACTGTGGAATCATTTGAATAGTTGTTAGGTTTTCCAAAGCAAAGTACTGGGGCTATATTCTATGAAGCAATTCGACCTCGTCTGAGTTCAAAGGAAGCTTGTCTCAAGTTGGGATTGGTTTCTCTCTCCGATTATGACTTCCACGTCAGGACAGATGAGGGCTCATCACGAGTTCATCGGAATCGAGGGATAGGCAGAAGACTACTGAGCACAAATTTAGTCACAGCTCCACAGTAGCCTATAATTGAGACCCGATGAAGCCGACCCACAGACCACCCCCTTACAACCCTTCATATTAAATCGATAATACAGTGACAAAAAACCATTAAGAGATTCTCTGGAACCCAAATTGCTTATATTTACTGCAGTCCTCCTACGTGGTGTTAACCCTCATTGCTTTTCTCTTCTTTTATTATCTGTCTTTATCTCCATCTATCTATACATATACATATACATATATATTCTCCTCTTGACATACGGCATGACTACTCGGCTGAGGCTCCCTCGAAGAGTTAGTCTACAGCAAAAGTGATTGCAACTCATTTGATTTCCAATAACCAATCTAATGTATATCCTAGTACCTTTATGGAGTTTCAACACTAATTTAGTCTATTGATTCTATGTCTTTAATCCATCTCCTGTCACTACACCGTATGCTGACACCTCCCCGTTCTGGTTTCTTTATTTGTATAATCTATTTTAGTGTCTCTCAGAAAGCTATCATTGTGAACTTTGGGTCTCTCACATCAATACAATTGTCAAATCCATTAGTTTGTCCTCACTTTATGAGAGAGCGTATTCGAGTGCTCTCGTTAATTGTTTACATAAAACATATATGATTCTTTTAATTTGAATCTAACCCAAAATTACACCAATTTACGCGGATACTGAAGCCTTACTTCCGGCTTCATCGTCGAGTTGGGACGTGCTTTTCCCTGCCTCTAATCTAGTGTTTAGACAGAGACATGTTTTACTGTAAGCGACCTCAGCGCTTGCTTTGATAGCGAGTTGTCTATCCCTGTCAAAATAGCTAACGAAAGCAACTTATACACTTGCTTGATTCCGTTCTCTTATTCTTGCAATGGTAAGTTTTCATTTGTGTTGTTATTCTTAATGTTTCTGGTTTCGATAAACCACCTTCCTTTATAGTCTTACTTCGACCTCATTTTTGCAACTTGGTCGGAGTGTCAGGGAGACCTTGTGGAACGTACCTAGTACTGTGTCCTCTGCCATAGTATTCGTGATTTCCACACCGGACCATTGACTTGGTACATTCTTAAACGTTTTGCCGGCATCGTCAATGAGAGGTGCCATCTTTAGAACAGAGTTAAAACTTATCAACTTGTCACTGATAAGTTGTAACTCGTGATGGAAATCACGAATATCCTGACAGAGGACACAAGACTATATACGTTCCACAAGGTCTCCCTGATGCTCTGACCAAGTTACAGAAACGTGTTCAAATCAATACTACTAAGCTAAAAGAGCCTACGACTAAACAGAAGATCACACCATCTTGGTCTTTATATCTACGATCTATCTCCTTTTGTGTTGTGCTTCGACTCTTTAGACGAATGGCACCGAGGCCCTGGTCTATAACCGATTGATGAGAGGGGATGTAATGCTATAGAGTTGATGAAATTGTAAAAAGGTAGCAGTTTAATATGATTGGAAGTGGTGTATGGAGACAAGGAGTGGAGCATGGTAGGCAACAAATGAATAAATCCTTGTGCTGGAATTGTGTAGCCAGATGAGAGGCTGCATGGAGAGGCATCACTAACTTTAAATTGCCGTCTTCCTTACGCGCAGGCAGAACAGATGAACGAAACAGCGTATGTAGGAGTGGGACACATTTTATGGGTGGCGTGCAAGGATCAAGGAAGGATTGACCTAGTTGGAGATACGATGGCGTGACGGGGAGGCTCTTCGTTGTCGTAGAGCCAAGCGTCAGGACCTTTCACGTGCGGTTTGTTAAGACAAGACGCTGATGTGGAAGCGAGTGTGGCGGTCAATTATTGTGTGTAGACGTGGACATCTTTGCCACAAATAAGATTGTGCTATGACAAAAGTCCTGACAATTTGGTGTGTGATGTATATTTCGGCGTCTGATTGGTGCTGGGCAATTGGCTCGACTTAGTGTGATACCTCAGTCTAGTAGATACAATGTCAGACTTGGTATAATGGACGAGCATATGATTCGTCGGCGATCGTAATGCATGCGTTGGAAGGAGAGGTATTCATACCGGGAGGGTTTCGGGGGATCTTAATCAACCTAGCGAGGTCTACTAATTGTTGTCACTCTAAGTCACATAAGGTGATGAAGGATTGATGATTGAATTGTCCCTCAATGAAACGAATCTGTTGCACAATGCCATCACCTACCAAGGAGCTGTTTGCTCCAAGCTGTACTATAGTTTTGACCTCGCATGGGTCTTAACAACATCGTGGATATCACTCTGCTGCAAAGCCACGGGCGCATGTGGGCCACAGTGCACATTCGACTTTCAAGACTAGCCAGGCCTCTCACACTTGTCAATTTTTATAGTGGAGTTTTTGTTGAGGCAACCCTGTACTCATGAGTTGTGTTCACCCTATTCCGTTTAAGGTGATGAAAGACGGGTAGTTAGATTTTCCCACAATCATATGAGCATAACTGACATTTCCATTGAATTTCACATAGCCCTGCTTTCCCAAAAGGTGTTCTCATCCAGGATGGACTGCAGTTTCGACCTAGCATAAGTCTCAGCAACACCCTCAGCGTGAGTGAAACCATGATAGTGCAGCATGTGATTTCGATCATTCATATAAAAACGATCTGCTAGTAGTCTCGGGAAAACTACTTATAAACGAAACATAGGTAATATAGTCCATTAATATATCAAATACAACTTTGCTTCACCGACAACCCGACTCAGGATGTGATATGCAAAAATACTTGGCCTTCCTTGAAATTCGCATCTGCCCTGTGGCCCAATGGCACTCGTGGCAATGTGTGGCTTGGTTGTTAACGTGTCGAGATTACACGTTGCACTCTCATGGTTGTACTCGCCGGGAGTTTTGATAAGACCTAGGCGAGGTCGAAACTGCAGTCCACTCTGGATGAGAATATCTTTTGGCAAAGCAGGGCTATGTGAAATCCAATGGAAGTATCAGCTCTATTCATATGATTGTGGGAAAATTCAACTACCATTATTTCATCATGTTATAAGAAATAGGGTGAACACAACTTATCTATCTGATTTACGACGTCCAGATTGACGCAGTCCACGAGCCATCCTCTTTCGTTTCGGAGGAAAACGGGCTAAGCTTTGATCCATCATATTATTTATATCATCAGAGCTGGAACTCATTCTTGTAAAAGCTTCAAGTTCACAGACACTCAGTCAAGAAGACTGTTCGGCTCTATCTTACCTCTTATATGTACTCATGACTATGAGTATGAGGAGAATGTGACTAGTAGATAAAAACCATTTATAGGGGTTGTGTTCATCATATTCCGCTTAAGATGATGATGAAAGTTGAGAACACCTTTTGTTAAAGCAAGGTTATGCGAAATTAAATAAAAAGATCAGCTCTATTCATATCATTGCGGGAAAATTAAACTATCATTCCTTCATCACGTTAAACGAAATAGGGTGAACACAACTTATGTATCTGATTTA